GGAAAGAGAGGGGAGAAAAAGGAATTTGATAAGAAGAGGAAACAGGTAGGACAAAGATAAAAACGAAAAAGTAAGAAAGGCAGACAGACAAGATAGAGAGAGCTGGCGACAGAAGTGTTCGTATCGAAGTTCGATCGGTGAAGAGTTACTATTGTCGGAATAATGAAATAGAGACGGAAATACATCGGTAAATCGATAGATAGATAGGTAGACAGATAGACAGAAAGAGTGAGATAAAAAGAGAGAGAGAGATCATTTCGTAACAGTCCTAATCTAATTAGTAGAGTATAGGAGAATTACCAATAGTAAGAATAACCACGATAATCATAATAATTCTAACGTCGTTAGCATTGATAAGTATAGTATTAATAATTTGGATGTTTTTTTGTTTTTTTACTTTTGATAAAGTTTCAAATTCCCCACGTGTTTTCTTTTCTTTTTTTTCCCACTTCACTTTCTTTGGGCTTAAACAAATCTCGCTCGCGCTTGACCTTCCGTTCTCTAGAAGAATCTCGTCACGATCGCGACGAAAATTATCATGTACGGTGTATGTATTAAGGCCGCATTTACTTAATCGGTATTGATATACATAATCGTGGCGATAAATCATACAATTGTATCACTGCACTTTCTTGGTTATTGCGATATCAGTGACGAAACATTCAAGCAATTGCAATAATGCGCTCATCAGGCTTCTGAATATTTCTTGTTTTCTTTTATATTCTGTTGGTTTCTTCTCTGCTTAAATATAAAATTTTTAGTATTAAATATCTTGATAACGTCAAACTTGATTACACTCGATTAAATATTTCTGATACGACAAAATTTATTTAAAACTAAAAAATAAAATTTTGTAATCCATTTATACATTCGCGGCTTTAATTTATCAAGTTTTTTTGACATTATTAATTCTTTAATTATTGAAAATTAAAAACTGTTCTTAATTTAGATTTTTTTATATTTGTGGCTTGCGGTGAATTTCAAAGGCTTATATAGACAATTATAAGAAAAATGAGATAAAAAGAATATAAATATATAAAAATGAGGAAAAAATCCGAGGCATAAAATAAAGATATTTCTATCAGGCGTTATTACGCATTCCACGTGATATTTTCGTCAATTTAAGAAAAAAAAAGATCTCTCAATTAAATCGAGTTTAACAATGTAGCCTTAATCCAACGTATATCACTACTAGCCGCGACGTGTGTCAAAAATAATATAACATTTAGAAAACTGTGCTTTACATAGAACTTTGCGTTTTTTGAGTCTAACAATATAATGAGAAAAATATGTAACAATATAATGAGATCAAAAGAATCTGTGTATGGAGTGTATAATATTTATCTCATTTTTTAGCAAATTAATATGCACTTGTCAATTTCTGGCGAGAGAGAGATAAAGATAGAGAGAAAGAAAGAGATAATTAGGAAGAGAGAGAGAGAGACAGAAACAAAGAAATAGGAGAAAGATTGAGAGAAAAAAAAGGAACTCGCCTTTGGTCGCCCTATTTTATAAACTTGTATGTATGTGCAATGCATCAAAAAATATTCTGTCAAGTTCGGAAGTCGACGATGAAAACATCATCTCTAGAAATTTGCGTCGATACAGAAACTGCCGAGCCGTGAGATAATTTACACGTTCCTCTCTCATGCTTCGTTCTTTTTGTGATAAATATAAAAAGTTTACTCTTTCCCGTTTCGCCATCGCTAAAATATGTACAAACGAATGGTAAATCCCTCGCCTCGCGTTCGCGTGACTGCTCTATATTTGTGTGTGTGTTGTATGTGTATTTTTATCCTCCTCTTTTACGTTTAATTTTATACTGCCTTACTCATCGAAGTAGAATGAAAAATGTGTCCGCCGGTAACCAGGCAATAAATAAGAAAATTGATGTTAACAAGAAACTTGACATTATGATTCCCTAAAATGCGTAATTTCTTATTTAGAATGAACTATATAGATCTCTAAAATTTGATTTGTCAAAAAACCAAGTTTTATCCCAATTATGAGTTTAGAATCGAATCAAACTTCGTATTTGTATCAACTTAATTATGTTAATTTTTTTCTCGATTATCTTATTCTGGAATTATTTTACATATACAATGGAATGATTCTTCGAACTTGAGGTAGACAGAGAGAGCTCAGAGAGCTCGATTATAAAGGCGATTAGGATTTGTCTCGCGCATTTAACCCGTTTCGCCATCGCTAAAATATGTACAAACGAATGGTAAATCCCTCGCCTCGCGTTCGCGTGACTGCTCTATATTTGTGTGTGTGTTGTATGTGTATTTTTATCCTCCTCTTTTACGTTTAATTTTATACTGCCTTACTCATCGAAGTAGAATGAAAAATGTGTCCGCCGGTAACCAGGCAATAAATAAGAAAATTGATGTTAACAAGAAACTTGACATTATGATTCCCTAAAATGCGTAATTTCTTATTTAGAATGAACTATATAGATCTCTAAAATTTGATTTGTCAAAAAACCAAGTTTTATCCCAATTATGAGTTTAGAATCGAATCAAACTTCGTATTTGTATCAACTTAATTATGTTAATTTTTTTCTCGATTATCTTATTCTGGAATTATTTTACATATACAATGGAATGATTCTTCGAACTTGAGGTAGACAGAGAGAGCTCAGAGAGCTCGATTATAAAGGCGATTAGGATTTGTCTCGCGCATTTAAAAAAAAAAACATAGAAACACGCAAATAAAAATTTATACACGAAATATCGCAACGTAAAATAATTAAAATTCTTAAGGGACGTACATTTTTCATCCTATCTCGCTGTTATACTTTCGCGTTTGATGCACTTTCAAGAGTTTATATCAAGCTGAATAAATATCCATTAATATACGAACATTATATCGTGAAGTGTTGAAAATATACATGCGTCTTGTGATCCAGGGACAAGGCTCTCCTGCATTGTAAACCTACATAACACTTGTCTTTTATAGGACGTTAGTATCATAACGACAACGGCAAAAAAATATAAAAAGTTAAAAAGAAAAGATATATATTTCCTTCCCGTCGCGCACAATTCGTTAATTAGAGCAAAATCGAAAGCGATTCAGTGCCCAACCCGCACGCGATTCGTTTATGTATTTCAATCCTCTCAAAAGCGATTCCCCCGGCAGCAAAAATCTATAGCAGATTCGATTGAGAATTACTCCCAATATTTTGAGACTGCTAGAAAATTTTACAATCGCGAGAGTTACCCTTAAGTATGAAATATTCTCAAAGGAGCACACAGTTTGGTGTACATTGAAGAACTTTACTCTGGCGGAACATTAATAGTCTTCGGATGATTTTTAATTAAAGAATTTTCCCTTTATCGTTCTTATAATGTTAAAATAAAAATTTTAACCTTCTTTAATAAATGGCGAATTCTTTGATTACCTTTCTCGACTAGACTCTCGCCAATAAAGTTTCTTTACCGTGGATAGTTACTCGCGTTTTTTTTCTCGTCCGTAAATAAATAGTCAATTAATTTCTTTATATATGCAGTAATTCGCGGACGATACGTTATTCCATTACCGATATCGTGCATAGATTTGTATAATAATATAACGCAGGTAAGAAACACAACGTGCTATTACGTTCACTGCTTCTGATGATTGTCGGCGACCATTCGATCGCGACTAGTTAATAATTTGCTTAAACTTCTTTGCGTATGTGTTTAATAATTATAGTACCATTGGAAAAAACTACGAAAGATTACGCCAACAATATATCACAAGTTACGACCCGATTAATCCTTTAAATTCTACGCTGAGATGTCTATTATTTATTGCCGTTTGGGAAACTTATCAATCGAGTTCTCTATACGAATTATAAATCAACATTTATCATTTCAATCTGAATATGCCACGATATATGTGAATAACAATCAGTATCAATTTTCTTATACAGAGTGCCGAAGGCTTCAAAAAATATTTGAGACACAGATGAATATAGAATCGATCCTTAGCGAAAATTTGCAAGATATTTTATCAATTAAATTTTAGAGGATTAATTTTAAATATTAATTTTAATTTCCTAGAGATTTTTAGCTCAATTGCGATGAAATTTTTAATGCTGAGAGTTCTTGCACTCTAGAAAAATCGACTCTAGATTCGTTGCGAAAGAGATGAAATATTTTTTGACAAAATCTTGATCTCATCTTGTGTATCTTATTTCTTATCACAAAGGAACATTCTGCTCGAGTATCGGGCGAATGGTCGTCCAACAGATAACAGCGATCGTATCTAACAGTTGAGAAAGCATTATTGGTCGCGAAATTAACTCGATAAGCGGTTTCGACAAGTCGCGTATTTCTTTCTTTTCCTTTTTTTTCTCTTCCGTTTCGAGATTTTCCATATTTCTGTCGCGTTTCCCCATATTCCACATCCAAGTAACGTTGCAATCGACCCGAGAATCTTTCCCAGTTTTACGCAAAATACGTGCCCTTGCTTTTATCCTTCGACAACTAAATCCGCAAAACCAACTCGCGGTACACAGTAGGAAAAATTTTATATATTCTGTGTTCTGATAATTCAGCTAATGTATATATATTAACGACGTTAGTCTGACACATGCAGACCACGACAAAATGTATCTCATAATTACACGTTGCATATGTGTGCATGTATACGTTTATATACATATACCTTTGTAATATGATTAAATATATCTACGCGTTTACTCTCGTCTATATCCTGCGTGTTCTCGCACATAATCAGCCTTTCCAAATATATTTCGACTATGTTTTCGCTATTACCTGAGATCAAACATAATCGATCAATTAAAATTAAAACAAGTTTACAATGAGTTCGCGTAATTGTTAGCACACTCGTTACGACATCTAATATGCAAAAACTATACCTAAGTAAACGAAAATATATCAGCAATTAGTTTTCCAATCGTGATCAATCAATAAGTAATTTTTTTAGTATTAATTCCGGACGAACGATCGAAAGTCTCACAAATCCGCAATAAAATTGAAACGATTTCGCGAGACGATAAAAGCCAACTGATCCGATCGATTGCATCGTTTTAATCATATCATTTGTTTATATGGACAAAACTCTAGATCATCGTACTGCCTATAAGGTACTGGCTACTCCTTTAGAAATCTTGCCTCGTTCGCATCCTCTTATTTAGACGAAGGAACATACTAGTCGAATGTAAGATTTTTTTTTTACTGGCAGAGTGCTAGAAACAATAACTAGAACCAATTGCTGGCTGAGCCGAATTTTGTAGAAAGACCGCCAATGCCCTTGCCTCCTTTAGAAATCTTGCCTCGTTCGCATCCTCTTATTTAGACGAAGGAACATACTAGTCGAATGTAAGATTTTTTTTTACTGGCAGAGTGCTAGAAACAATAACTAGAACCAATTGCTGGCTGAGCCGAATTTTGTAGAAAGACCGCCAATGCCCTTGCCAAACATACTACCGACTTTGCCAACAACATTCGAAGTGACATTGCTCAGATTAGCTACATAATTCGCGTCTTCCGTTATCGTCTCAACGATCGTCACTTTTGTCTTAGGTCTCTCAACCTCGTCGTCATTGCCATTCTCCGAAAGCCCTCTGCAAAAAGGAAAAAAATTAATTCATAATTTTTCAACTCAAAATTTTCTAAATGGCAAAATTCGGATAAATGTAATTGAGTAAATCGTGAATATTAATATTTATATAAAAAGATATAGATTTACAGTTTTCTCTCTCTCTTTCTCTTTCTTTATATTCTCTACGGGAAAAAATTTTATTTAAAAAAAAATATATATTTTTATATTTTCTTGGAAGTTCTGCTAGATATATTTCTTAATTTTATTGTTAGAAAGATTAAAAAAGCTTACTCTTCATTCTGAGCGCTCATGGTTAAGGCACAAGTTGCTTCTTCCGTCTTCATCCTTTTGTCTATAGTCTGATATGTCTTCGTATTGAGTTTCTCCTCCATCACACCCTGAAGCTCAAAGTCCGAATAGATCTTTTTCACGATGTGAGCTAGGCAAGTACACTGATACAGATGCAGGCTATGATCGAGCCTCTCAGACAACCAATTACATAACATTTGTATCTGCGCCGTATACCATTGCTACAAATTAAAATAATTTAGCGAAATTACATCCAATAACGCAAACGTATTAATAATGTGTCAATTTTTCTTTAGACAAATTACTATTAAAATTGAAGTCCTGTTTATCTTGTTTTTATTAACTCTTACCTCGAAGAAAGTCAAAATCCACAACTCGTCAAGGACTTTGCTGCGAATCTGATCCATACAATTTCTTGTAAAGTTTACATAGGCTTGTCCCATTTCTTTCCCGCTTCCTGATACCTTCTAAAAATAAATTGTTAGATATTATAAGGTGTTAAAAAAGTTTTAATAATTCTTTAAGTTTATGATGTCATTTGAGTCACACCTCGGCTTTCTGATAAATAATCTATCATTGATCGGTATAAAATATCATAAAATTGAGAATAGGTAATATAGATAATATAGATAATTTATATTATTGAGCGGAACGAAATACCGTAAGACTGAGAATAGAGCCGATGAGCGAACCCTCATCGTAACGAGACAGCTTCGAGAGTGTCGCTTCCAGTACCGTTATTAATTTATTAATCATTCCTTGATTCATTCCCGCCGAGGTCTTTTCAATCATGTCATCGATCTTGGAATGATATTGATGCTAAAAACACAAATATTAATCATACGATATATGGAATATATTGAGTTGGATAATTAATTTCAGCACATGTCCGTTACCGCATTTAACGTGAAGAAATAATTTTAACATTTAACATTTTTTATACATAAATATATATATATATTACATTTTTGGTGTAAAAATATTATATTTTTACACATTATAAATTCTGTCGCAAGTGTTGTACTGAAACTGCGGAATATTATATTGTGTTGGACCGGTTTTCCCAATGATCGTGAACTTACCACATCGACACCATCGACAGTACAAAGCTTAAAACTCTGATTCTTGGCGTCCAAAATAACGTTCACCATAGCGCACATTTCCGACGGTATGATGTAGTCGGTCGAGATGAAGGTCACGCCTTTCTTCAGCCACTGCTGGAAGGCCGCGTCGGTCCTTTGTATGCACGACTCCACCATGTCGCAAGCCATCAGCTTCAGCCTCTGTTCGAGATGTTGCCTGAACTCCTGATCGGGCCAGTGCAGCCCACCGATGAACGATTGCAACGCATCCAGTTTCCAGAAAAGATCCTCCGAAGTGGCGCAACCGTTCCCTTTTATCTCCCATCGCTCCTTCTCGAAACCTTTATGAATCGATTGAGCGATCGACGTCTCCATTAGATCAACGTAACGCACTACTAATGGCGCGAACGTATCGCGTAAATGCTGATGGAATCTTCCGTTCTTCAAATTGTCTGCAAATTAAATTTTGACATCATGTATAGAATTTTTTGATCTAAAAATACTTAAAGTAATGGAGTCTCAAATATATCTAAGAAATAAGAAAAAGTAATAAAATATTAAAAATGTTAGGAAATGATCTTGAATGAAGGTTTAACTTACCGTCAGTCCTGAGATAATCGTTCAATATCTGGAACAGCGGAAAACTGTCCCATGTGTCGGGTGGTTGTTCCGCAAGGACTTTATCCATGTCGACGGCGAATAGCGACCAGAAGATCTCGGCGTGCTCCACCATAAGATCGCTAAACCAGGCGAACGCCTGAATCATACGATATATGGAATATATTGAGTTGGATAATTAATTTCAGCACATGTCCGTTACCGCATTTAACGTGAAGAAATAATTTTAACATTTAACATTTTTTATACATAAATATATATATATATTACATTTTTGGTGTAAAAATATTATATTTTTACACATTATAAATTCTGTCGCAAGTGTTGTACTGAAACTGCGGAATATTATATTGTGTTGGACCGGTTTTCCCAATGATCGTGAACTTACCACATCGACACCATCGACAGTACAAAGCTTAAAACTCTGATTCTTGGCGTCCAAAATAACGTTCACCATAGCGCACATTTCCGACGGTATGATGTAGTCGGTCGAGATGAAGGTCACGCCTTTCTTCAGCCACTGCTGGAAGGCCGCGTCGGTCCTTTGTATGCACGACTCCACCATGTCGCAAGCCATCAGCTTCAGCCTCTGTTCGAGATGTTGCCTGAACTCCTGATCGGGCCAGTGCAGCCCACCGATGAACGATTGCAACGCATCCAGTTTCCAGAAAAGATCCTCCGAAGTGGCGCAACCGTTCCCTTTTATCTCCCATCGCTCCTTCTCGAAACCTTTATGAATCGATTGAGCGATCGACGTCTCCATTAGATCAACGTAACGCACTACTAATGGCGCGAACGTATCGCGTAAATGCTGATGGAATCTTCCGTTCTTCAAATTGTCTGCAAATTAAATTTTGACATCATGTATAGAATTTTTTGATCTAAAAATACTTAAAGTAATGGAGTCTCAAATATATCTAAGAAATAAGAAAAAGTAATAAAATATTAAAAATGTTAGGAAATGATCTTGAATGAAGGTTTAACTTACCGTCAGTCCTGAGATAATCGTTCAATATCTGGAACAGCGGAAAACTGTCCCATGTGTCGGGTGGTTGTTCCGCAAGGACTTTATCCATGTCGACGGCGAATAGCGACCAGAAGATCTCGGCGTGCTCCACCATAAGATCGCTAAACCAGGCGAACGCCTGCGGTACAGTGTAGTAGGAGCGGATCGTGAAAATATTGGACATCGCACATATACGGTGGGCATATTTCCTCTAGCTCGGGGCGATGGGGACGCCACCCTGAGCACGGGGCCCTCGAGTACCCAGAAGACACTACTTCTACTTCATGATGTGCGTGAAAACGATCGTAAAACTCGTGACGGTAAGCGACAAGCGTTTGCTGCAGTTCTAAGTTTCGTGATTATCGACTCGAACAAGACATCAAGAATATCGCGATTGAATATCGATGAGATTTGCCTTGTTTGCGGAAGGTATCTGATGAAAAGTGAAAATGAAACTAAATTCAAACTAAACGCAGCAACGTGTAGAGTACTAGAATAGATGCACCAGTAAATAATTCGATTTCTTTGCTAAATAAAATTTTATATTTTGTAACATTTTTAATACTAAAATAAGAATATTAATCAAAATTACAAAATTTACAATTGCAAATAATTAATTATTTTAATTTATATTTAAAAATGATAATTAAAAAGTCACTGGTTTTACCCTCTTCTTTAAAAACTTAATTATATTATTTTACATGCAGAAGGATAAATTTGGACCAGATATTATCTGATGCATCTACCCTACATTGTTATGTGATACGTTTGGTGATGTATATACATATATGGTATGTGTGACAAATTAAAAAACGTAATAATATAAAAAAAGAAAAACTTGCTTTTTTGCTCTTCCGCAAAAAGTGAACATCTCTCGATTACAAAAGGACATTTAAGACGTCTGCGGTT